GTTTTGGACAATTGAGATTTAAAAGAATCTCAAATATTCTGTCTTGAAGAAGTATAGGAATACCAATAAAATTCTTGAGCATTGAATATACAAGAGTATTGAAACTATTATTTTGATTTTAAGTATTAATAGCATACAAAATCTTGCTAGGATCGTTATCTGTATGATAATTTTGCCACCAGTGCTTAAATTATCCGGTGAAACCACAAATTATATTACAGAAAGCTGTATGAGGATCAATTTCTCTGCAAATATATGCTACATGAAATACAACCATATCTTTGAATACTTGAATAATTTGATATTCTAAAAATCCATCAAGATTCCATTCGATGATTTCATCGCCTGTATAGGAAACTTGAGGTTTCCTCTTTTCCTCATATAGCATGTCAGGATTAGAATGACGGGAATAATGATTTGGAAGTTTTAAATTTTGACCTTTCAATTTATTAATTTGAGAATGTTCATTTTCAATAAATTGAGTTTCAAAATCTTCAAAAGTATCAATAGTATTGATATTGTTAGAAGATCCTAGTTTATAAATTTGAAAAGCAAGTTATTGTAAAACTTTTGAATCAAAAGATAAAGAACCTCTTTTTAATTGAGGAGTAATTTTTGGATCAACATATTTGAAAATAGTATCTGAAAACTTCTTATCATTAAATTGAAATAATACATATTTAGAATTGGCTTCAATTCTCTTTAATTGAGTATAGACACATTGAAGAACAACATTAATATAATTGTTTTGAGATTGAATATTTTTTATATATTTTGCTGTAGGAATAGAATCATCTTACCTTTCAACAAAGATAGGAATTTTCTTGAGAGGATATGCAATTATTTCAGTGTTTCTGCAAGAAACAACTATTTCTTGCACTGAGGATGTTCAAATTGGAAAGTTTGACCTGAAGGAGTTTTCCATGTTTTCTTATTAGCATGGATATTTTTAATAGATTTGAGTTTTGAAATCTTTTTATAAAATCCTTTGAAATGTGTCCCTTCAAAAAAATTGAAATCTTCTGGAGAATCATAATTTTTTTCACATTGAGATTCAATTTTGATTTTTGAAAACATCTTTTTGACATTATAACAGAAAGCTTTGACAATAAGAGTTTGACCAGTATTGAATTCATTTCTTCTATCTATGGTAGAAGAGATGACATTACAATGTCTATCTAATTGTTCTTGATTAGGTAGCATATCCAATAAGGTTGGTGAATCAGGCTATTCAGATTCATCATCTTTGCGAGATGTGTATTGAGGTTTTGGAATTCTAGGATTCAAATCAACACCTTTGAGTTTTTCAGAAGAAGTCAATAACTTTGAAGTCTGTAAAGGAATCTCAGACCTATTATTAGATCTAGGGGAATAGGACTTGGAAAACCTTACATGTAAATCCATCAAAGATCATCTTAACATGTCCATCGAGAAATGAAATAATTTGATTTGGAGTATTACGAACGAGAGTAGGAATTAGGTTTTGAGAATTCTCAAATCTCATTCTAATCCTCTAGATTGAAGATTCCATGGTATCCTTTTAGGAATTATGATAATTGAATGAAGAGGATTAACCTCCAGGAGGAGGCTTTCTTCTTTTGGAGATGAACAAAGAATTCGAATATTGAGTTGAGTTGAGTATTCATAAGCTCATAATATATTCTATATATTAAAGCAAATGATTTTGAAGGATCATTAATATCAAAGTTCTTTGTTTGAATATGAAGATTTAGAGTATTAAGAATAGCTCCATCCTTGTGGCTGATTGTAAAATTTGGATAACAATTTGAAAAAATAAGACCACTTTCTAAATTTGATTCTAAACCAGAAAGTAATGAATGCTCAAGTCTAAACAATGGTTTGACAGCAATTTGAATAAATCCCACATGAAAATATTTAAATTTTCTTCTATGGGTTTGAATAGTATATTTTGAAGATAAATTTATTTGAGATGATTGATTTTTGATAGCAATAGTTTGCTCAAATATTTTAATAACATAATCTTGATGAAAATCAAAATTTTCCATTTCATAGATAGAACTCTTGTTTACCTTTGGAATAGTCAAGTTATGCAATTTTTGTTCAATTTTTGCAATTTGAAGTTCATGAGAATTGAAATAATCTATTGAGGATGCAGATGCATAATCTTGTTCAATTTCTTCTTCACTTGAAAAGTATTTGAAAATTTTTCAATTCTATTTCTAGAACTATCAAATCTTCTAAACCACAAAGAAATTAAAGACATAATTTGAATAAAATGATATTACAGTGATATATCTCTATATAGACACAAAGTTTTTGGAATAGACCGAATCCAACCCAACCTACAATGGGACCACATGTATGTAACTGTTGATAAAGACACGGTGCCATGAACAAGTCCTAAGCTATACTAGACAAGTTAATATATTGATACCAATGTATATTTCATCATTGAAGTAAATTTAAGAAGTTTGCCCCTATTAGTGTCTCATTCTATGTTAGTTGTAACGATCCAACTTCTGTGTCCAAGTCGTTAACTTATTACATATTGTTCACTTTCGGAGTGCATCTACACTCTTTTCCTCACGAATTTTTGTCGAGTCCCTCAAGATTCGATCATGATTCAAGTCAAGTCTCTTATAAGGTATAGATCTTGGGTTCAAATCTTGGGATACGAGATAGAAATTCATGAGAGATAAGAGGGAAAATACCCTCCCAAAATGGATAGTATGTAA